TGCCATGGGCAGGGACAGCTCCCACTGTCCCAGAGCGAGAGGCTCCGCAGGCACCGCTGGGCACTCTGGGCGTTCATTGCCGCTGGGCGCTCCGCCAGCCACACCTCCAATGGGAACGTGCTGGGAATCATCGAATCCCAGACTGGTTTGGGCTGGGAGGGATCTTCAAGCTCATCCTGAGCCCCCCCGGCTGCCATGGGCAGGGACAGCTCCCACTGTCCCAGAGTGCCTCAAGCCCTGTCCAACCTGCCCTTGGGCACTGCCAGGGATTTGTTAATAAAACAGGGCTTGTCAATAGGAGTTGAAACAGCAGCTTCAGGCAAGGCTCTGGCTGTGCTGGCTGTACTGCTGTCACCAGCAGGCACCAACCCCCAGCCCAGCACCTGCTGGGACAGGGACAGGGACAAACCTGTCCTGGGCTGGGACAAACCCTGTGAAGGAAAACCTCACCTCCTGCTTCGGGCAGCTGCTGGGGGTGCCCCATGCAGCTCACCAGGGTTTCTGTCCCTTGCCTTGCAGGCCTTCTCTGCCTTCTACTACAACTTCAAGTTCCTGAACCTGACGGAGGGGCAGCCGCTGGCCGCGGTCAGAGAGGCCATCGAGGGGCTCTGCAGCCGGAGCTGGCAGAATGTATGCTGCTCCTCAGCATGGAGCCACTGTGGGACACGCAGAAACAAAGGGCTCCTGGGGTGGGGGGAGGCAGTGGGGACCCCTCCAGGGCAAGGCTCTCTGGTTCTGAGCTGTGTCCTACACAGCAGAGCCACCCTGAGCTCTGTGTGGAGCTGGGACTGTTCTGCATCCACTCCTTGCTCATTCACCCTTGGGAAAAGGGCAGCTAGGGCAGGCAAGGGCAGCAAGCAGCTGGGCTTGGAGGTGGGGTGGGGATGGGGATGGGGATGCCACAGAGGATGGTGAGAGCAAAGCCAGCTGGTGGCACCATGCTGAAGACAAGTCAAATCTTGGAATCATAGAATTCCAGACTGGTTTGGTTGGGAAGGCCCATCTTGTTCCACATCCCTGATGTGGACAGGGACACCTTCCACTAGACGAGGTTGCTCTAAGCCCATCCAATCTGGCCTTGTGCACTTCCAGGGATGGAGCAGCCACAGCTCCTCTGGGGAGTACATGAGGGTGGATAAGCCCAGAAATGTGCCAGCAGCACCATGGGGCAGGGAGCAGGAGCCCCTTGCATGAAGAGGCTGAGATGGAGAATCTGGGGCAGGAGGAGCTACAGTAAGCTACAATATGTGCCTCTGTTTCTGTTCGGAGTGTAAATCCTCCCCAAAGGAGCTGCTCTGCATAGAGAGGCCCAAAATCACTGCCCAGCCCAGGAGTCTCTACCTGGATGCTCGTGACTGTGGAGCCACTGCATGCAGCACATTTCAGGGCTTTGTCTCTGCTCAGAAAGTGCCTGTCAGTAACTCCCCTTCACCCCAAACATTCCCCACCCCAGCTCTCTTCCAGCTACCCCACAGAGAACCCCAAGCGGCTGCCCAGGTACTGTGCCAACGCCAACTACATCCTCACCCTCCTGCTCGATGCCTACAAGTTCAATGAGAGCAGCTGGAGCAACATCTGCTTCCAGATGAAGGTGGGCACTGCTCCCAGCCCCTGAGGGGGAGCAGAGGTGGTCCTGGGAGAGAACCAGCCCTACATTGGGGTGCTGGGGAGAACCAGCCCATGTTGGGGTCCTGAGTGAGAACCAGCCCATGTTGGGGTGCTGGGGACAGCCAGACCCTGTGTGGGGATGCTGGGGAGAGCCAGCTCCCACACTGGGCTGCTGAGGGGGAGCCAGCCCCTGTGCTGGGGTGCTGGGAGGGAGCAAGCCCTCGTTTTGGGGTGCTGTGGAGGAGCCAGCCCCTGTGTGGGGGTGCTGGGGAGAACCAGCCCCATGCTGGGGTGTCCTGGGGAACAGTAGTGCAGAGAGCTCTGCCTGCCCCCCATAGCACTGCTGTGGGCTGAGCAGGATGGGTGGGTGGCCCTGGGCCAGCAGTGGGTCCCCTGCAGGGCTGTCCCCTCTCTCTGGCAGGGCTGACCTGTCCCCTCTCTCTGGCAGGGCTGACCNGCTCTGGCCCTGCCTCAGCCCTGGGCTCTGATCAGGGAGCAGCAGCAGCAGGAGGAAGCTCAGCCATGGGCCCAGGACAGCACACCCCTGCTGCCCAGCCCTTCCTGAGTCCTGCTCAGTCCCTCACCTCTCCTCGGGCTCTGCAGGGCCCCCAGGAGCAGCACAAGGCTGGGACAAACCCAGGGAAGGGGAGGCCACAGCCCCAGCTGGGCCATGAGGGAGCCTTGGCCTGTCCCAAGGCCCTGCCCAGCCCGTGCTGCTGAGAGCCCTGGCAGGGCAATCCTCCCCTCTGATGGGAGCTTCCACCTCAGTGAGGTAAAACCCACAGTGACCTCCCACTCTGCCAGCTGGCAGGGCACTGGGTGCTGCAAACATCACTCTCACCTCTTACAGACCTTGCAGAGAGCTTGGAATGGGAATGAGAAGGCTGAGGAGAGCAAAGAGAAAGCAGAACCAGGGGGTGTGACAGCCCAGAGAAGCAGAGGGACAAGGGTTAAATGTGGTGATTTGTCCTTCATTCAAATGAGGAGGAGGAGGAAGCAACTGGCTGAAGATAAAGGCAATACCAAACTGGGCCATGAATATACACCTGCAAGACAAACAGGAGAACAGATATTCAAGAGTTTCACCTATGGCTGATGAGCCCTCAGAGAAAATAACGGGGGAGAGATTTTCCAGCAGTATCCACTTCCAGAGGACATAAAAGGCAAGTCCAAGCTGGGTTTGCTGCACTGGAGGAGCACAGAGAGACCCGAGGGACCCCCAGGGCACAGCCTGGTGAACTGAGACAGGTGAGCTGCCCTTCCCAGCCCTGAAACCTGGGAAGGGCAGGGTGACACAGCAGCCTCCTGCCCTGGTGCGGTGCCTCAGTGAGGGCTCTGCAGCTCCTTGTGCTCCCTTCTGCTCTGTGCAGGGCTCCTCTCACCCCTCCCAGGCCCAGGAGATTGTTGTGATTTCATCATGGCTCTGCCAGGCTGTGGGGCAACCAGCCCCTCTTTCCTCCAACTCCCTGTATTTTATCCTCATAGTGCTTTTCCCAGGAAAAGATCTGATTATTCCCCAGGGTTGTGAGTGCATGGCTTGAGCCAGGGTCAGCTTTGGGAGTGGTCTCCTCACAGCTCTCACTGACACTGTTGCTCCCAGGTCCAGCCACGTTTCTGCCTGTCTGGGTTTTCAGGAGCCTGCCCCCAATGCTGGCCAGGAAGAAATCCTTCACCAGTGCCATCATCGGGGCGCTGGTGGCGCTCTCCATCATCGCCCTGGTTCTCAGCCTGGTGAGGGTTGAAGATGTGACGCTGCCTCCCACGGTCAAGGTGAGCCCAGAGCTGGTCCCTGAGCCCCTGGTGAGCCCAGAGCAGGTCCCTGAGCCCCTGGTGAGCCCAGTGCCCCTGGGCAGGTGCTCTGAGCCGGCAGCTGCTCTGTGGGGCTGGAGGGGCAGTGGGGGCAGGACCTGCCTGGCAGTAGTAGGGTGAGTTTGGTCCCCACTTCGAGGTGCAGGCAGAAGAAAGTCAGAGGGGAAGGCTCCTCTGGAGCCCATCCCCACTGTTCTGTGCCAGGTTTGGAGATTATCTTGCTCCCTGTGCTCTGGTGTGCCCCTTGTTCCTGCCAGCTTCCCCCAGTCCACCCCTACCCTCACACCATGGCACAAACATCCTGCCTCCCCCTGTCCGTGCCCTGGGCATGGCTTCCCACCCTGCTGGGAGGGCTGGCAGGGCTGTGGCTGGGGGAAAAGGCTTTGTGGGCAGGGGCAGGGGGCTGAGTG